AAGAAAAAATTTCACGTGATATATTCAAAGATCTTTCCTTAAAAAGAAAGATCATCCAACAGAGCGGCTCCAGAGCCACTCCTCGGCTCTATATCGGTTCGGCTCCAGAGCCGCTCAGGAGCGGCTCCTTAATGGAACCGCCCCATCCCTAACAATCTCACAATAGCTACAAGGTCTTCCAGAAGCTTATTTCATTGATTTCGATATCATTTTTTCTGCATAGCCAATGGCCCTGTAAGCATAGATTTAATCTGTTTTTATACTACTCAGCTTTCCAATAAAAAACAGCTGATGAAGGAATAGATATGAATGTAATGAATATCTATGAACTGAGGAAGCCTGGCATAGAAAGCCAAATAGAATAACAATTATAACTGATTTTACACTACTCAGCTTTCCAATAAAAAACAGGTGGATGAAGGAATAGATATGAATATAATGAATATCTATGAACTGAGGAAGCCTGGCATAGAAAGCCAAATAGCATAACAATTTACTATGTGATGAAAGAAAAATTTTTCATCAGCTAATAAAATTTTCAAATTAAAGATTTCTGCAATCTATATAAAAATAAAACAAAAATGTTATCTTATATTACCCAAACTTTTAACTACATTGCTAAAGCAATTTCTTATCTAGATGATAGCAAAGACCCATTCGAGGCAGGAAAACTTGTAGAGGTCAGAGAAGTGATTGAGTATGTGAAAACACCAAAGATGTCTACTCATAATGTAAAATATGTTAACACTATGTGTAAACTATACATGCAGCCCAAAGTATTTTGACACTGTCATAAAGTGGTTACACATGTAGTAAAGGGGTGTTACACTTATGTTTGTAATAGTGAATGCTGTAATTAATTTCTACTTTCTACCATCAAAATTGGAATAATTTTGACCATCAAAATCACCAAACCAATTTGGGCTGCATGTATAGTGTAAACATTTATATCTCTAAATATTATTTTTAGTGCTACAAGATTATTTTTAGTGCTACGAATTTAATTCTTGTGCTACAATATTATTTTTTTTGTGCTACAGAATACAAAAAATGAAATATCCAAACATGGCTGAAAAAATGAAATATGCCACCCAGAAATGGGACCAGAAAGCCAAATATGGTCAGATAAATGAAACTCACCACATAGCAATATGGCCAGGAAAGCAAATCACACCACCCTGGAAGGTCACATCTCTGATCTCACATGTGGCCAAAAACATGAATCACACCACCCTCAAGGGTGGCTTAAAATTTGGATTACACCACACTCAAGCTGGGCAACTGCAGACTTTACACACTAAACATGCAAAGTGAAAGCAAAGAAGAAAAGCTTTACATACTAAGCATGCAAAGTGAAAGCAAAGAAGAAAAGCTTTACATGCAAAGTGAAAGCAAAGAGGAAAAGCTTTACATGCTAAGCATGCAAAGTTGGGATTTTATGTGGCTCAATTTATAAATCTGGCCATGCTTGAGTGTGGTGTAATCCAAATTTTAAGCCACCCTTGAGGGTGGTGTGATTCATGTTTTTGGCCACATGTGAGATCAGAGATGTGACCCTCCAGGGTGGTGTAATTTGCTTTTCTGGCCATATTGCTATGTGGCAAGTTTCATTTATCTGACCATATTTGGCTTTCTGATCCCATTTCTGGGTGGAGTATTTCGTTTTTTCAGCCACATTTGATATTTTTATTTTTTGTATTCTGTAGCATGACAGTCAGGATTATTCCCCGATTTGGAATCGATTCTGGAATTTTCTGTTGATCAATTCACATAGTGATGCGAACAAATTGATGTGATACTTTCATTTATTTTTTTATCCCTTTTTTTTTACACAAACCTCCATAACAATAATCGAAATAATACCTTCAAACTTTCTCTTTCATAATCTGTAAAAATCTGTTATAATCTGTTAATTTGAAAAGAGTATTCCTTTGTCCAAAATTGATGAATTTTTGTACAAAGGGTTTGTTTTTTACCTAAAACTTTTTTTATTATTATTTTTGTAGTGAATAAAACATCAAGACCATTAGCCAGCACTAGGGTTTTTATTCATAGAGCTCCGAACGAGTCGGGTCGGGTTGGGTCAGAGGTTCAACCCGACCCGACTCGAACTTTTAAACAGTTGACCCGACCCGACCCGTCGGGTCAACGGGTCAC